GGGGGGTTATCCCTAAAACCATTCCTATATAAAATAACAGTGATATTGTAATGGAAAGGATAGCATTTTGCTTTAATGATTCTTAAGTGGAGTAAACAAATTACTCAAAATTAAGTAATCACCTATGTGAGAGAGAAGTGGGGCCGCTTCAAACGAGAATTATTTAAGGGCTAAATTCTTTAGAAACTCTTGCAGAACCAGGTTGATGTTCATGGCCAAAACGAACATAACTATAAGAACTGAACAAACGTTTAGATGATTCCTGTGTGAAGTGTATGGTTCATTTACATAAGAAAACTGGACAGTTCAAGGACATCATGTCTACTGGACAACTAGTAAAGTAAATATACTTTCACAAGGGAAGGTTCAAAGGGTAATACCTACCTATCCTATGCAGGTTTCAATTGTTGAACACTATCACGGAGTCAAAACTAAAATAATTTTCATTCATGTGGGGGATTGTTGGAAATATGGGATAAATTGATGGGTGAATGAATGAGAAATTGATGCTCAAAGAACACCCTTGAGTTGGAAGTGGGAAGAGGAAAAACACTATTCCCACATCGGAAAAGAAAGAAGGCTATGGAGTGCTTTATATACAGTTACACTTATTTGAAGTGGTAATTATCATAGCACAAACTCTCTGCCTCGCGCGCAGGCGCAGGGGGGGTGCAAATCCGACGCCCGACAAGTTGAAACTTGGGTGCGAGCGCACATCCCGCGTACACGATTGCAGGACCGAAAAGTGGGCCTCGCGACGAGCCCAATTTTGCCTTCTGATTTATTTTTTCAACTCAAACTGTTACGAATTTCGTAATGTGCGGCAGATTTAATCCACAGTTATTCCCATGCGTATTGATTTTATAACGGCAGAATTAATCGTCCGTTATTTGTATTGATTTTATAACGGCAGAATTAATCGTCCGTTATTCGTATTGATTTTATAACGGCAGATTTAATCGTCCGTTATTTGTATTGATTTTTTAACGACAGATTTAATCGGCTGTTATTATTCCCGAAATGCTCTCCCCTGCGTTCTATTTTTATCGAAATCATTCTTCCTCTGTTTTTACACGCTCTCTGCATTTGCACTGTTTTTCGGTAGTGTTCATTTCGAGTTTGTTCAAGTTCGCCGGAAGCTTGGAAGTGCCGTGCTCTCTTCTTCGCTGTCAACCGTTGTATCCTGGGAGACAGACGTTCACGAAACCTCGGTCGCGTACTGGAGGGAGCGAATCTGTTTTAAGGAAACTGTGTCAAACACAGGCCTCGGTATTCATTTGTATCGATTCCAACTTTGTTATTGCAATTTCGTTTCTTTACGATACTGTATTGTTTGTAATATTTATGCTAATGCCGATTTGAATTTTCGAAATACAATGTTGGATAATAGAGTGTGTGGAATAGTTCTCTCATCTAATCACACTTTATATTAGAAATCTAATGCTAAATTACGTCAAAAGGCGCCTCTTGTGGGGTAATTGCAATTTTTATTAATAATTTAGGAACGCTCTTCTCATGTTCGGTGCATAACGATTCATTCTTACCCCATTCGCCATCTTAGAAGTTTGCCGGGAGCTACTCCTTCTCTAGGCCTTTTGCCCCGGGGATCACTTCCCGCCTTTATTTGATTGGGTCATTACAAGTAGGAAAGTTTGCTAGTTTGCAGAGATTTTGTTTAGAGGTAACTATTTGGCATTCCTACAAAGAGAAGTTGGAAGTGGTCATTGGTTGAAAAGTGACGCAGATTTTTTTATATTTTTACTTTAAACTTTTGTTTTGGTCTAAAATTTTCAGAGATGGAAACTATCTTGGATAACATAAACATGAACTGATTCTCTTAATGGAATACCTTCGATAATCATTCAGTGCAATACGCATTAGGCATGCGGTCCAGTGATAAGGAAATTGGGGGGTTGGGACGCCAGTTTCATAGGTGTGAGGTTTGACTCTTGCCCTCTACAAAGAAGTTGAGCACAAATTCGAGAGAGAGAGGAAGGATAGTTAGAAATAGGACAGGTCAATTCCATGCCTTAAAAAAATACGATTTTATTTTTACCATAGCAAAGGTAATTTTCTCAAAGGATACCCTCAGGTTTGGGGCCTCATGCCCCTCGTAATTATTCTGTCATTAAAGGGGAGATACCATGGACCTATGAGATTAGTCGAGCTAGGAGGTGCACATCTCCACGACCATGAAAAAAGATGGTACAACTATAAAAGCTATAGTGAGGCCATGCTCACTCGAAATGTAATAAAAATTAACCCCTAATAAGTTAGTTGAGTTACTTAGAACTTTGTTTAGATGTGGCAGATCCATATTCGTTTAAAAGTAACATGGAGGCTACACCCACAAGGAGTGAGCAACCGGGCTAGTTCACATTGGGACCAGTTCGATTCTTGAGTAGAAAAAATGGGAATCGACCTTGACTGGTTCGGACCCCGGTTCTATACCCTAAACCGGTCAGTTCTACCCGGGAAGCGAATCGGTTTTTGAACAAATGTGAATGAATAAAGAGGTGATAGGTAAAGGTTTTAGAGATGGAAAGATGGGTGTCCTCGTTCGGGCATTTGACATCATTCTTGCTCCAATGCCTCTCTCATCTGGACCAGCATGCATAAGCTCACATCTCTACGATAGAATAAATAGAGCAGAACTAGAAGATTTAACGGCACGGGTTATGAATTCACAACCAATTGTCAACATTTCAATTTGTTGAAATATTATCTTATATCGCTCAACAATGAGTTCTATATTATTTTTACATTTACGTGGTCTCCCTCTACCTAATAGTTTAAGCTTTTGAGTTGAACTTCCTAACATGATATCAGAGCCAGTGCTATTCCTTTCACGTATGCATGTCCACCCTTCACCGGTCAAATTTCTCGTGCCGCTCATAATCCATCTTGTACGTGAGAGGGGATGTTGAAATATTATCTCACATCGTTTGACAATGTGTCACATATGATTTTGTTGGTGTTTAAACTCCAAACTTCGGCATCCCCACCCCACCTTTCCAACCACTGGACCCGATGCCTCGTTGGCACTTTCTAACACGGTTGATCAACATTACCACCACGCAATTATGCACGGTCCTCCTTTAGTTTCGCGAATGCTTCGTCATTATGCTTGAAGACATTGGGACTGTTGTTGCTAGACCAATGTCTTTGAGAATGTCGGCATATGTTGCTGAATAATTCTTGCTTGACGCTGAGATAATCCATTAAGGGAACACCAGATATACAGAAAAGGCGGCGAATGCAGCTGCTCCAGGGAAATATTTGATTGTGCTGATTCCAATGTCCACTTGTCGCAGTGCACCAGTTTGGATTCACTGTATCTAGAGAATCGATGGTCAAGAAATCATCTTTCTTTTGTAGCATAGAGTTTGGCTATTCCTTTCATTGTAGCCTTGACAACTCACTGTTTTTAACTAGCAAGTCTGAGCAAATTCAGTGGAACAAAGTCATATGCATCATGAAACGAAAGATGGCCAGTTTTTGTGCTGCACTAGTTGATCCTCTTTGATATGTTATTATGAAACGAAAGATGGGCCCGGTTCAAGGGTCAATAGGTTTGATTTTCAGTTTCAAAATTTAGGAATTGACCCTAATAGAGTTAGTGCCGGGTTTTTTTGGTCTAGAACTTACCTATCCCGAAACCGATCATCTTTGACACCTAACTACCATGGGCTGGCAATTCTTTGGTTGTGGAATAGCCTGTGCGGCGCTTGGTGAACCAATTTCACTAGGCCAACCTTCCTTCTATAGTTGTTCCTAATAACAGTATAGTGAATAACATCCTCGTATCGGATCGTACCATGCCCAACTTAGCTCGGGCATCCAGTCCCTTGAGCAAGACACGCAAAACGCTTTAGACACAATAATTGATTTCGGCCTGCCATGACCTCGTCAGAAGAGTTACATCAGCTCCTGACAAGTTTGTGCACGGGAGGCCAATAACGCCTTCAGAGCTTCTAAGAGTATATTTATTCTAACCTATAACTCCTAGCACAAACCACCCTGATGTCACTCTCACGAGCCAGTTATATCATCCCATCTGCATCACTCACTCTTCACCTCGACGGCACTAAGCTCCACTCACAAAGGTACGAGAGTATAGGAGAATCACAGTTCGTGACACAACCGTACGAGTAAAACTTTAACTCATCCATGTGCATGAAGCGATTTGCGTGCATTTAGTAGGATTATTCAAGTCGAAAGATGGTTCACTGGCTCCTTTGGCAATGTCAACCTCAACCCCCGCGGCATCTTCACGGACGGAGTGCTCGGCGGGTCGAAAGGCACACCAAGGTCGATAGGCTCATCACTTCGAGAGCTGCCGTTTGTTACCTCGATGCCGACTCATCACTTCCCGGGGGTTCAGTTGCTTACCTATCAAAGGGGTACGTGAGTTGGGTTCAGAATGTCGTGACGCGAACATCTCAACTTCTTCTTCTTCTTCTTCTTTTTGTTGGTGTTTCCCCCTTAGTGAAGTTGCACATCTTGCACCTCCCTCCATCTGCCGGGCCCAGCTAACCAGATTTTTTTGCCTATTCGAACCCCGGTTAAGTTAAGCCCAGCGGCCCGGGCCCATCTCGGAGCGCCCATCGCTTTCCCGGGTTCCATCCATCCGTGTCGGCCGGACATGCAGCGCCGGGCCCATCTCGGAGCCCCATCGCTATCCCGGGTTTCCCATCTATCCGTGTCGGCCGCATAACCAGCGTAAGGGCAACCCCGGCCGAGCTAAGGACACAACTATCCTCGTATCCAAACGGCCTCCCTTCTCTCTTCCATCTTATTTCCCAAACACGCAAGCCCCCCTTCTCTCTCTCGCTCGCTCGCTCGCTCGTTCGCTGTGAAGAAGTCAAGGGGGCGATTTCCAAGTCGAGGGCTTTCGCCGAAGGTGAGCGAAACCCTAATTGCCGATCCTTCTCGTCGTTGCGATTCGGATTTGGTTTGGATCACGTTGTGGGCGGTGGGTATCCTCGCTGTGTTTTTTCTCCCTTCTTCTGTCGTGATTTCTGTCCTGGGGCTCTCGATCTTCTTGTTTTCGTGTGAAGTTTTTGGGCGGCTGTCGTCTTCTCGGCGGTGTTTTCCGATCTGGGACGTGACGGAATCGGTGCGTGTCGTTCAATTTGGGTTCTTGATTTGCCCGCTGTTCGTGCCCCGATCGGTTCTTGATTTCTGGAACGGGATTTGTCGTGGTTTGCGCGGTTCGAACTTGTGAAACTGTGGCTTCTCGTCGACTTGCCTGTGTTGTTGTGAATGTTTTGCTGAGACCCTTTTGAACTTGTGAAGTTTTTTTTTTATTTTTTATTTTATGTGTGCGCTATTTTGTTTGTGATAGTGTGATATGGTTCTCAAGTGTTTTCAGTTGTATTCTGAGATTATCGGGTTTAGCTAGGGATCATGACGACTGCTGCCAGACCGACCTGGGCACCTGCAAAAGGTGGAAATGAGCAAGGGGGTACCCGGATATTTGGTCCTTCGCAGAAATACTCATCCAGAGACCTTGCTGCTCACACGAATCTAAAACCCAGGTATGTGTTATTTGCCACTTCCTGTCTTTACCGATGAAATGATCATTTCTTGGTCTCTGGAAGCAACCACCTTTGACAGGTGTTACCTGTGTCTTTCGTGCAAAGAAATCCGTTAGCTTTCTGATTTCGTGCGACATTTAACTGTGAAAATTAGGGAATTATGTGGTGCCCTGGAATTTTATGTTTGTTAGAAAGGCATGGCAAATAGGATCGAGTGTTACGTTTTCAGATCCATCTTTTGCTTGAACAGAATGGCGGGTTGATGTAAATTTTTTCTTTCTTTTGGTTTCTTGCTGAAAGGCAACTGCTATTTCCTTATCCTTTGAAAACTCTTTTTAGCTATTTTTTTGTCTTTTTCTTGCTTTGATGTTCTCTTTCTAAGCTTCTGGAGTGAACAATCGTCTAAATTTTTGCATCAATGGGAGGCATCCTTAATCCTTATGTAAAGAAACTAAGAAATGAAAGCAAAGGCACTTAGATGGCTGATACTGTGAACCTACTGTAGACCGTGAGGACCTGGATAGAATAGATGTGCCCTATGGAGAGGTTTAGGACCTTATGAGGAGTATATTTTTGGTGGCAAGAGCTGCATGCTTAGCCTGATTGAGCTGAATAATTGGTTGAGTGTGCATTTGTGAAGGCTTTTAGGCCCCCTCTCCTACTTCTCTTACAAAATGGTGTATTTGGCAGTATAAGTGATGTGCTTAGCGGTACTTGTGGCCTTGGTAACCTTCCTATGTGTTGAAAGTAGAGGCTTGTGCGATCTTTTATGCGTCAAAGGTTTTTATGTGTTTTGTGGTATCTCTTAGCTAGTGTAAGTGACGAGCTGCATGCTTACGGCCTTGCTAAAGAGAAAATACATCCACATGGAGACCTGAGTGATCTTGAATACGTTACAAGTTTTCATGTGTTTAGAGGTAGAAGGAGAGCTTTGTTTGTTTTCAAATGATAGTGGAACGAGTACACACCTTGTTAAGGTTATCTTACTCATGCAGTTTTATTTGAAATGCATTCATGCATTTTTTTTTTTTTTTGGATTTAGTTTGAAATTGAATGATTCCTTATGTTCAATTTTGAGGGTTCCTTTCAACTTATTAGCATCTCTATTAAACAGGAGGGATGGACAAGACACCCATGAAGAGTTGCAGAAGAGGAACCTAAGAGACGAGCTTGAAGAGCGTGAACGCAGGCATTTCTCGTCAAAGGACAAGTCCTACATCGGTATCTACTCGTTAAACTTGTTTTCATGCATGTATTTTGTTGGATGTTGCATTTCTTTCCATTTTTCACTGCCATGTATTGAGATACTGTGATTTGTTCTCAATTTGTTGCATTAGATGATAGAGATCGCCGGAAAGGAGGGCAGCTTCTCTTGGAAGGTTAGTAGTTGCTTCCCTATTTTCATGATATAATGCCGTGCTTTATATGATATTCACTTGTGAATTTGTGATCAATAGGATCAAAGAGGGAAGTGGAAGATCGCATTGTTCCCCGCACAGTGGATGCAGATGATTCCGATGTGGATGTCAAAAGTGATGATGAAAGGTGGTTGCTATTTTGAGTTACTTTTGTCTACACATCATCATTTGCTGCCTTCTTGGGTCCTTTCAATCATTTGGAGTTGATTACACAATGTAATTGAAGCAGAAAACTGGCATGATTAGATTAGATCCAATTTTTTTTAGCACTAATTCTCTAGTACTTGTGGAACTTGGTGCAAAAGGAATGCTGTGCAGTAGTTTCGTGGTATGAAAATTGACTGTTTGTTCGCTTTCTGGTGGATCTCACATCTATTTTGAGCATTGCCATCTTGTTTTGTTTGAAATGGACTGCCTACTCAACTTTTACTGAGGAACATTCGTTGCTTTCAGCAGCGATGACGATGACGACGACGACGAGGATGACACTGAAGCTCTTTTGGCTGAGCTTGAACAAATAAAGAAAGAAAGAGCAGAGGAGAAGCTTCGGAAGGTTAGTTTGCATCTTTAGATTCCATCTTCTGCCTGCTAGAATTATTTTTTGCTTGTACGTTCATATCCCGGATCTCTTCGCTTCATAATTTACAAGAACCTATGCACGCATGTTTACTGTTACTTGCAAAATTATATTGGGGACGTGGAATTTTCGTAGTATTTCTCTGTGATTTGTGAGTTATTAATCATGAAAAAACTTAAACAATAAAGAAAATAGTGCACGAAACATGTGGAAGTTAAGAAATCAGTGGAGTTTAGAGAACTTAAGCAAAAACTCAGATGGTCAATTTCGTGAGAGATCACTCCTCAAATCTCTCATTTTATGGGTAGTATAGATAACTATCAGCTGCCTGTGCCACTTGTCACTATCAGTAATAACAACCGATGTTTCCTTACACTCTTTCAGGAAAGACAGCAGAAGGAAGAAGAACTTAAAATCAAAGAAGCAGAGCTTCTTCGTGGAAATCCTTTGCTAAATAATCCTACTACTTCTTTCAATGTGAAAAGGAGGTGTGTGACCTGAACTTTTTTATTGTTTTTATTCCAAAAAGAAAGTTAAATTCATTTGAATTGTTGATAGTCAAGCAACAAAGGATTGATCAATATATACGTGATATCTAGGACTTTCAGTGATGCATCTCTTACGGTTGTTCTTTCCCCTTGATTGTTTCAGGTGGGATGATGATGTGGTCTTCAAGAATCAGGCCCGTGGTGAAACCAAGGCTCCTAAGCGCTTCGTTAATGACACCATCAGAAATGACTTCCACCGTAAATTCTTGCAGAGATACATGAAGTAGTCGTTTAAAGCTAGAGAGCTTCTAGCAAAGGAATGTACCTTATGTGAGAACTTGCAAATAGTTTGTTTTTGGATTTTTTTGTGCAAGCAGCAATCTGAAGTCTGATTTTCAGATCTGAATTTACCTTTTCACCGCACTTCTTAATCCTGGAATATGTTATTCTTAGTAAATGCGTTATATCTTCAAAAGCAAGCTGCAAAATTCATTCTTTTGTTGCATGAGCGGGAACTGCCTATGGAGAAGGCGAATTTTGAGACCATCAGGATGAAACACGTCAACACCTTTGTTACTCGGGTGTCGATAATGTTCCCGGCATTCCATCTTATTTGCTAAATTTCATGGCGGTTGCATTGTTGCAACTAGTTATGTCAGAGTGCAGCTACAATGTAGTATGGCTACAAAAAATGTCCAAAATATCTGATGTTGTGCGTCTCGAGGCGTACCGAAATCGCATCTGGACGTGCTACTTGCTGCTTCTTGTTGTGAATGTTGTACTCAGGACGAAAGATGGGGGTGGTGGTCGCCGTCTGAAGGCTTAAATTAAAAGTGAGCCTTGAGCTTTTGAAGAGTAGTTTAGCTTTTGAGTTGTTCTGCAATCACTGGACCTATCAAGCCCCACTGATTACAACATGTGTCTGTTGGTTTTCTTCACTCCGTCACTTTCTACCAAGGCTGCTAAGCAAGCAAGAGTTGCAAGTCAAAATGGCATTAAGCTTTAAGAAGACGTCGAAGGATACGTTAAGCTACCATTAAGCTATCATTTGCAGCTGTCACATGAAAGTTGACCTCCCATGAGGTATGCCCAACTTGGCGAAGTTGGTTATCGAAGACTGAGCTCATCGATTTCTTCTATTTGTGGAGTCACTCTTTACAGGCTGAAGCGCAGAGTTTCTTCATTGAGCCTCTTTTGTCCCTCTTCCCCTTTTGGCCATTTTGATTCAAAATTGAGATTTTCGTGGACTTTGATGTGCTCGAATTTAGTGAGGTTAACCCACAGCCATCGATTTCATCACTTGAAGAAAAACCCAGTACGCAATGTCCGTTTTGCTCTTCGACTTTGCTCTGAAGAAGCTGATACTTTGAAACTCAATTGGCAAAAATTGCTTGGCAGGCCATCCAGGTATAGTCATAAATTAAAAATTCTTCATACTCCAACAAGAGGGGAATGAATAGGAGACCAAGAAGAACGACAAAACCACAGAAAACTATATTTACTCCAATTTCCAATATAAGCATCATGATCTCTTGATAATGGATACAGAGAAATGTACAATCACGTTACAAGTTGCAACAAGCTATGAACAAAAAACTATTACAGAGAACCATCTAAAAGAAGAAAAACAAGCTTCACCTCAAGACGGATCGCCCATCAATTACAACTCACAAACAAATGACAATAAATAAACCATACCGACAGAATTGACTTCTAGATGCAGTATATCCTTTCCTATTAGCTCAATCTCGATAAAGAAGCTCCCCACGTGATTGCAAACAAAAATTCAAGCATCGCAGAGAGTTGGATCAGGTATTCTAATCATGCTTTTCCTTTGGTTTGTCTAGAACAAATTCGGCGTACAAATCCTTTAGAGCAATCACGACAGTGGTTATGAGAGGGCCCATGATAGCACCCTGTAAAAGTGAGGATTCAACGACATTAGTGCCAAATATAGAATATATATCGTGAAGAGAGAAATAATTTCACCGTGTGCCCGTTCGTTTGAGGGTTAACAACGCACTGATGAGGCAAAGGCATCACCTAATAGCCATGCAGAAAGAGTTGCTAACTTGGCATTTTCTATGGACAGAATTTTTTCTTGGAGTATCTGGTGCTCTTAGACGATAGAGGAAGCCATGCGAATAAGGAAATAGCAGATCTTGAAGTATATAAGCAACTCAGGTGAAAGAAAATGATCTCGCAAGAATTTTAGCAGTCATAAACCCTTAAATTCCCCAGTATGGTCTGACTACATGATGCATCCTAAAAGGATGACAAGTAAAGACAGCTTCACTAGATGATAACAGGACTCTGAAGTGAACCACGCATGCCAATAGAGATGCAGGTACATTCCCATATAGTGAAAGAGGAGGAAAAGGAAGATGAGTAATGATTTAACAACTACCTCAAATGCTGAAGGGAACAATGTCATTCCACCAATAATGCTAAGCCCAGTGAGATATGCACTATAACCAGGTACGTCCTCCTGAATCTCAGATGCACCATAATCCATGAGAACAAGATGAATAATGGACAACGTGATTGCCAGTATGTATCTTCCTTCAAGGACCAATTGTAATGCTGCAGGAATTGTTGCAAACCAAGATGGGAAGATGGGCAATAGAGCGCTAAAAAATGCAAGAACAGTGCATCCATACAAGAAATGGATTTTATACAGCCTAAACAAAAGCCAGGTGAGACATCCTTGAATGAAAGCAATCTCAACCGTTGCCAGAAGAACACCTGATATAGCTTTGTCAAGAACTTCGACACACCTAACCCTCGACGAATTTGGCATTGGCAGCATACCCATTGCTTGCTCCGTAACCCCTCCAGATTCTGCCGTGATGAGGTAATACAAGACCGAGAAGAACACCACTGTTTGGGACACGAAATTGAAGACCTCGGTTGCTCCATAGATGATGGAGTTCCCAATAGAAAACAGGAGTTTCGTCCCGCCTCCTACAACTGAGGCACTACTTGCAAAAACACTTTGCAGAACATCCTTTCCTTGAACAGCTAAGCCCTTTGCCTTCTCAACCAAATCTTCTCTTGTGATTAGCAATTCCCTGAGCAGGGCATCTACTTCAGTATATATCTGTCCCCACTCGCGTTTACTAAACTGTTGGCGGATACTAAGAAATTTCTCGGTGTACGGAGATGGGGCCATTAGAGATGTGGACTGCTCCGAAGAGCCAGCTGATGGACTAATCACAAAGTGCTTAATCCCCGTGACAAGCTCAGTCATGTTGTATTGCATTGCCAAGCTATCTATCTGGTCCGACACAGTCGCATAGAGCACAGTAGTATATTTATCGACCATCCCAGGCACATCATTCTCATCCATCCACTGCTTCACGCCGATCTTCTCCGCATAATTACTCTCTTCCACGTGAGACTTCAATGAAATTACAGCATCCTTCCCTTCCAAACCAATTTTATAAGAGAAGAACATCACTCCGGTCAAAAATCCCATGATCATGCCGACAATCAGCCCAATTGCGATGATGGTCTTCAACCTCTTCAATATACCCCTAGTGAAAAACGCACTCATTGCGCTGCGACGGAAACTGCTACTTCTAATCGACGACACAGCAGACAACGTGGCGTCCACATTCTTCGAGCTAAACAAGAAGCCTAACGCAAGAATAGCTACAGACCCACCAGCGCCGATCCACTCATACGCAATTATGAAGACCCCAAACGACACTAGCCACCGGAGCAACTTCGAGAACCTACTCCTCTTCCGCCGTAATCGGTCGGATTTCGGTTTCTTAAGGAAAACCCTGTAACAAACTTCCTTAATATCCACGAGGGTGCCTATGAAAGCCCTAAAGATAGCAACAGGGACAGCAAGCAGAGTCTCAGTGAGGCCTAATTCGAGAGGCTCAGACCAAAATGCGACAAGGGTCTCTTGTATACCTCTCAAAGGGATCGAGCACAGAATGGCCCACTGAATTGGCCTCAGATACTCTTGCAACAGCTTGCATATGCCATAGAGAACGAAGATGGTGAATGCGAGGCCAAAGTGGGCCATGGCTATGTAGAGGGCGAGCTTTACCTGGGGATCGTCGGAGAGCGAGTTCTCGTGACCCGGCTCGCCGGAGGAGGAAGCCGCGGGGGGAGGGGGCGCCGCGTGGGCCGGGGCGGGCGGCGCGTGGGGCTCGGGGGGCGGGGCCGGCTTGCGGACGGAGGCCGATCGGAACATGTCTTGCCAGGGGAGAGGGCAAGAGGAGTTGGATTCGGGTTCTGAATTCGGGTCCTTGTACGGTACAAGCTCCATTTCCCTCTCTATATTGTTGGGTAAGTGGAGATGCGGGATTTTCAGGGGAAAACGTTGGAGCTTTTTCAGGAACCAGATCCAATGCTAGCTCGACACCAGCAACGCATGCATAAAGTTTGGATTTTTAAGAACTTTGAACAGAGAGAAATAGAGGGAGATAGAGAGAAAGAGAGAGAGAGAGAGAGTCTTGACAGGAAACTTAATGGAAGATGGCAACTAAGGAAGAAATTGTCTGTGGTGTCAGAATCAGAAGAAGAAGAAGACTCCTGGAAGCAGAATGACTTTCGACATCATCTGGGCGGAGGTCACCCTATTAAAATCAACGTGGGGACTTCGAATATTAAAAAAAATAAAATCAAGTGGCATTAAATAAATATAAACTAGGGATAAGTGCATTCAAAGTCCTAAAACTTATCACGAAAGTGCAATTGAATCCTAAAACTTTCAAAAAGTGCAAACAAGTCCTAAAACTTGTCACGAAAGTGCACTTGAGTCCTAAAATTTTAAAAAAGTGCAAACAAGTCCTAAAACTTGATAAATTGGTTCAATCAAGTCCTTCCATTAATTGTACTTTTTGAAAGTTTTAGGACTTGTTTGCATTTTTGTGACAAGTTTTAGGACTTATTTGCACTTTCGTGACAAGTTTTAGGACTTATTTGCACTTTTTGAAAGTTTTAGGACTCAAGTGCACTTTCATGATAAGTTTTAGGACTTATTTGCACTTTTTGAAAGTTTTAGAACTCAATTGCACTTTTGTGATAAGTTTTAGGACTTCTTGTGCACTTATCCCTATAAATTACTTAACGGATTGATCAGAATCTTCTATTAGTTGAGCCAGTCTCTTTGGGAAACTTTGTCAAGAATCTACAATTGCAGAGATTTTAGATTTCTGAAAACTGTAACATTTTCTTTAGATATCTGTCTTAAGCAATGCTTTGAGGTATTTGTGAATAGCCAAGACAGCAATCATGTTTCCTGTTTTTCCCCCCTTCATCACTTGAGAAACAGCAAGCACAGCAGCCACATGAATGTCGCTGTTAGAAATATTAAAATTGTTTTTGTCATTAATACAAACTTGATCTTCAAGGTGATACAAACTTGGTCCTCAAATTTGATACAAACTTGGTCCTCAAGTTTGACAAACTTGGTATTCAAGAAAATTTCCTTAGGAG